GAGCTGTGAAAAAAACTGAGCTGTGTTTTAAGAAGTTGCAACGTCAAGCTTAAGTTAAAGGTCCCATATTACACTTTTTGACTTTCTCTGGTCAAGACATGATTACAGTGATTTGACCTTCATACACATGCCCAGAGTAGTTTTTTCACTGATTCCCTCAAGCTTTAGTTAGAGAGAGATTCTTCTCTTTCATTCTCGAGAGGCACAGAAACGAGCTGATTCAAATCGTGACGTGGCACGATCCGTGACGCCAAAAGCCCGCCTCCAAGAGGTGATTGACAGCAGGGAGAAACTGACCCAGCGAATCAGCGCCGTCTATGGTCAGCCCATGCAGCCTTTCTCTGACTCCAGCGTGTGGTCCATAGACAGGAAATAAGCGTCTGTGCTTTTATGTGTTAGCTTCATGTCAACTTGGAGAAAATGTGTTGTTGGAGTAATTATGTGACGAGAGTTTTTGGTCAGAAGACGGAGAATGGGGATCAACTTTGTTCACGGGATGTCTGCCTCGTAGCCGCAAGAGTCTGAAATCCGTAAAGAAACTCGCAAATGTTTTTTTTGCGAGTGACGGTGACACCACCAAAGACCGCTTCCAGAACTACAGTTACCTTGAAACGGTACCTACTCAAAAGCTGCTCTAGAAACATGGTGATGTTTCCAACATAAAAGACGCTAACAGGAGCCTCGGTCTGTGAGTATGGTGCAGCTAACTCCGTATATATCACTGTGAACTAAATAATTAGGGTCTGCACATAGGGCTCTATGTGACGGGTTGCCATTGTTGGAAAAAGTTGATTCTCAGGTGTGAAAGGATTGTAACAGTGAAAGCTGTATAGTTAGCTCTTGTTTACCTCGGAATTTAGCGTAATGCGACGTCACTGTGCGGGAAGTGGGAGGCGGGCTCACAGGCAGAGGAGCACTGATCCAAGCGTTTCACATGAGGTGACATCGCCTCTGTGCATGAAATGGCTATAATTTGACAAGTTTTGAGTGTTGTATCAACCAAATTATTATCACACATGTGCATAAGATGGACTGTGAGAAATGAAGAAAAGCGAAATTTGGCACCTTTAAGGCTGAGTAAACTTGATTCTTTGCTTGACTTGTTCTGTAGCGTAGTTTCGCCCTTTCATTCACATGGAATAAGCCAACATTCACCCCACCACCACACCCACTCAGCACACAGACATGCAGATGGACATGGCAGGGCTGCAACAACTCACCACACTGGGAAAATACTAATTCAGCAACAATCTAATTGCAACTTGATTATATATTTATTACCATTATAATAAAAAAAATTCTATTCCATTTTAAGCTTGAGAGCTTATTTGTGCAGTCAGTGCAACAATGGAATGAAATCTGTCAGAACTGGAATTTTGACTGTAAGGATATTATTGGTGGAGTTATTAAGGGCAAACCTAAATTTGATCCCTTCCAGAGTTACTTAATCTGATACGCACTATGTATGCTTGGGGAATCACTTTGCTTTATGCTCATATTCATTTCTCTAGCAAAAGTGAAAACAAAGACAATTGATGATGCTTACAAAGAGTTAAAAATGCATATTAAGTAATGCATTAAATAAAATACAATATAGGCCTGCACAATGTATAAAACGAATGCCAAAGAAAAGCTTATGTCATTGGGTAGAGTCACCTTGATGTGTCTTATTAAAGGCTCATCCACCACAGACTGAACATAATTGATAAGATTATGATCTATTCTCTAAAAACAACAATTTCCAGTGGCCACTCCATCAGGAAAAAATAAAAATAAAAAATGCTTTCAGCTCTACCGTTCAATACACCAATCGTGCAGTGATCACTGCTGTTGTGGTGCGTGTTTATGTGTTTATGCAGCACAGTATTGACACGCAAGGAGCCACTTCTTTATAGCGGTGATTGGACAGCCAATAGCTCCCACGGGACAAGACAAATGAACAAACCACAAGTTAAAAAGCCGCTAGTCCAAAAGTGTCCAATAGTTGCAAGTGAGCATACGTAGCAACCGCAAGCATGCGCATCAGCAGCTAGTTTGTATGCACAAGGCATATTTGAAAAGATATCACACAACTCATCTCTTTATCACAAAATAAAAGTTTGACCAAACAAACTTTCATCACTTCCACTGCTCCCTGGAAAGGTTCATGAGTGAAATCAGCTAGCGCTGATTTTGCAATGGGTTGCATGCCACACATTGTACGACCAACACTGTTGTACAATGTGTGGGGTCTCAGGTTTGGAATATCTATTGGTGAATATTTTATTGTAGGATTGTAGCCATGGGCTGATTTGCACCATTCATCCCACAGCCGCACTCACAAACCTATTCATTCACCTTGAACTATTCTACATGCACACGGTCTGGGAAATCTACGTAGACATGGCCAGAACATTCAAAATCCGCACAGAATGGCCCCGAGGTGGAATCGAACCAAGGATCTTCTTGCTGTAAAGCACAGAGGCACTACTCGTGCTCACATAACAAGCACTGTACACAAATCCAGTGAAATTATTGTATGCATACATTTTTTCACTTGATTAATCAAAAAAAATGTATATCTTTTATTACAACCACTTTCTCTGCCCTACTTTTTACACATCTTCTCTCGAGCTGCTGTTTGTCTGGATGTGTTATATAGAACATATCTAAAAGTAATTTTGCTTCACACTGCCTGATTTAAGAACCAAAGTGTGTTCCTTTTGAAGCCTGCTGAGATCTTAGATAAGCCAAAGGGAACTTCACGGGCTGCTCTGAGCCATTGGTGAAGTTATGGCCTGAAGCATGTTTGCACGGTTTGGGGAATGCAGCAGAAAAACTCAGGCTGGTAACACTTTCACTCAATATAGATTCATCATCTCTGTACATTGTCAAGAAACTACCCTTAAGCAAGACAAGACTTCTGCTGCTGCTACAGCAAAAAATGTTGGAGTGTAAAACCTAAAATACTGTTGTGGTGTGACTCCAAAAAGACAATAGACTCATTTTCGCAGCCCTCATATACATATAACACCTGCCCAGCCAAAGTGTCTTTACAGCTTGAACAATTGCAAAATAATATTATTCACTGAACAGACATGAAAAGCCAGTGGTAGGAGGGGCCGATGGCCGATGGCACATTCACATGATGGCACATTCACATGCCTCACTTCACTGACAACCAGCCAGTACTATTTCATCACCACCGTGTATGGAGTGAAAGAATAATGACATGTGAAGTATCTTTGAGTGTCCAGAAAAGCGCTGTATAAAATTAATAATAATCAATTATGGGGTGACAGTGGCAAGACACTTAACCCCATGTTGCCTGAAGCCCCCGCTGAAAGAACACGGCTGTGTCACTGCTGACAGAGGAGACACTAAAAGGGGTTTAAAAATGAATGAATGAATAATTATTATAAAACTTTTAACAATAATTACATTAATATTACAATAACATTTTGAAGTAGTATAAATAACATGTAATTCATACTTGGGTCGCACATTTCTGGATTTTAGACTTTCAGATGCTGAAAATAGTTCATCTTGTCGGCACGGTGGCTGAGTGGAAAGCACTCTCGCTTCTTGCAAAGTCAATTTCCATCCATCCATCCATTGTCTACTCTACCCCTTAATCCATTTCTGGGTCGGGGGGGTGGCAGTCAGAGATGCCACCCAAGTCTCATAGCACCAGCCCAGCAAAGTCGATTTAACACATTTAAATATAATTTTTCAATGAAATATATTTGTTATCGCAATCAAGTGCATACTTCTTTGCTCACAATGAAATGTCCACAAAAAGATCTGGAGTAAGGACTGCATGTGCAGGAGACTTAACAAGACTTAGCAAGGAAACTGTTTTTAATGCGTGCTGGTTGTACCAGAACAGACATGGAGAGATGGGTTCAATGCAGTTAGGCCTTTACCCTCTGCAGAATTTGGCATAAATTTTGTCTTTGGATATTTGAGCTTTAGAGCAAGGTTTCACACTGTGGTAGAAATTAAAGACATGTCTATGTGAAAGTGTAGAGAATGGGAAAGAATGCAGAGCCACCTACAGTTTGGAGTATGTTGCAATGACATGTGGTGACATACATCAACAAAAAGGACAGGTAAAGATCATGAATACAAATGTTTCTTAGAATCAAATATATTATAGATGGGAGACAAAATCAAATTAATTATTCATCTGTATTGTATGCAACAAATCATTGTGATAATATTGACTCTATACCAGTGGTTTACAAAGTACGACATTCTGTGGCCCCCTTTACCAATTGAAAAATATTAAAATACATTAACATATAACATTTAGGTTGTATAGGCAGTCAAGATTTATAAAATGCCAAAATGTGTTAAATTACTTTATAGTCTGTTTTACTGGTTGAATGGACTTCTTTTGGAGACCCTCCGCAGTACTCATGAGGCCACATGGGGGGAACTGACCCCCTTTGGGAAAACATTGCACCATAATAATGTTCATGGGTTCAATGTAGGCTTCTAATAGATTTCTTACAAAAGGTTATAAGGGTTGAAAACATTTATATATATTTATAACTTGTTTACAATGGTAGAAACTGTTGTGGTTCAGATGATGTGAGGCAACTGCAGGGAAGTGTTTTCATGAAATTGAGCATTCTCTGCAACTATGCAATGGCTCGTGTGAGTAAAAGTATAAATATAACAAAGTTAATTTCATGCAAATGAACGTCTTTCTTATCTTGTAAACATTTTTGGCTGGTCTCTCTGTCTCTTTGCTGATGGGTGTGTAGGGACACTCCTCTACCTGTCTGACAGGCTGGGCCACTCCGCTCTGCCTGTTTGCCTCTATTCCACACCCCACAGAAAAAAGTGAGAGTACAGGTTAGCGCAGCTAGCTCCGCCCCATGCCCTACAGACATAAAAACACCAGCACAGTGCAGCGACTCACTCAGAGGCATTGGCTCTCCTTTGAAGTATCTTCACCCTCTTCTCTCAGCACTGACTCCAAAACAAACATCATAAACATGAGCAGAAGGGCAATGTCTACATCCGGCTACACCACCTCCATCCGGAGAAGTGTAGCCCCAGCAACCTTCTCGTCCTCCACAAAACGGACTTCTTACACCTCCGGCGGCGGCTATGGTAGTGGCATGAGCATTGGTGGAGGCGGCTTTAGCAGCATGAGCACGGGTGGTGGCGGCGGCTATGGTGGCAGCATGAGCATGGGTGGCGCCTATGGTAGCAGCATGGGCATGGGTGGCATGGGTGGCATGGCACCCATCACCGCTGTCACCGTGAACCAGACCCTCCTGGCCCCTCTGAACCTGGAAATCGACCCAACCATCAATGCTGTGCGCACCCAGGAGAAAGAGCAGATCAAGACGCTCAACAACCGATTTGCTTCATTCATTGACAAGGTACGTTGGGCCTGCCTTTCATAATTGTTGCTGACATACAGAAGCAGGCCTACAAAATAACAATATTTATTAACTGACAATCCAATAATAATTATTGTTTGCCTCTAATAAAACATTTCTAATTCATACAACTCAAGATAAATATTGTGTATTGTGATATATATACATTTGTGCAAATCATTACGCAAGAATGACATAAAATGTATGTGCAAACGTTGCCATTGTACATTGCACCCGTTTCCCAAATTCTCTTCCCAGTCGTTGTTCAAACATGGGTGGGGTCAGACTTGGAGTGGTTCATGCAAGAAATGAATAAGGATGTATATCACTAAGCCTTCACAGTCCAAAGTCTCAGAGATGCACATTGTACCTCTTACCGAGCTGCAACTGTTTATCACATGAAGTTGTAACATATTTCAATGTGTAAAGGTATTTTGTGGTGGCACAGGTTTTTCATCATGACTCCAACCCGAAAACTCATGCGTCATTGAATAAATTTTACTTTGTCTAGTGCGGTTTACCTGCCACACCTAGTTTTATTGTGACCATATGGCCTTTAAAACAGGCCAAGACAGCCATTGCATTCTAATGCATAGTCAAATAATTGTATTTTTTCTGTAAAACATACAGATGTAGTTTATCCTAAAAACAAAATAAATTATATATTCTGCAAAAGTTTGAAATTGGGTGTGGCATCAGGAGACTTGGCTCTCTGCCCACTCATTTTTGTTAAGGCATTTGAAAAAATAAAAGATATGGAGACACACCCTGTGGAATTTGTTCCCTTTAACAATATCACATCCCTACATTAACCTGTAATGTAGTTAACTTCATAACTACTGAAAGTTTCACATTCAGGATGCTTCAGAAAGTCAAATCTAAGAGGCAAGTTATAATTGAATTGTTTTCTTTGCCAGTCTAGTTTGGCATAATCAAGAATAAATCCATCAAATTTAATTTCAAATTAATTTCTAACAAGCTTCTCTCTTGTGCCTTGATCACAGGTGCGCTTCTTGGAGCAGCAGAACAAGATGCTGGAGACCAAGTGGAGCCTTCTCCAAGACCAGACCACCACTCGCTCCAACATTGACTCCATGTTTGAGGCTTACATCTCCAACCTGCGGCGTCAGCTCGACGGCCTGGGCAATGAGAAGGTCAAGCTGGAGGGAGAGCTCAAGAACATGCAGGGCCTGGTGGAAGACTTCAAGAGGAAGTGAGCTGCTTTTTCATATAGAATCAAGAAAAAGATGATTTTGGGTCGTTCTGATTGCACTAAAATGTTATTCCACTTAGGTATGAAGATGAGATCAACAAGCGTGCATCTGTGGAAAATGAGTTTGTACTCCTCAAGAAGGTGACCAAATCTAATTATTGTTAAATTTATGTTTTTTTAAACTATGTGAAATGTTGTATTGCCTCTGCCAGTTTTAAAGATACATATATTAAATGCTACGTCACTGTGGTACAGAAGAACAATAAATAATATATATGTAAATATGTATGAATGAGATAAATTTAATGCAATTAATAATTAATTGATGTTTTGTTTCAGGATGTTGACGCTGCATACATGAACAAAATTGAGCTTGAGGCCAAAGTTGATGCACTTCAAGATGAGATCAACTTCCTCAGGGCTGTCTTTGAGGCTGTACGTAATACTATCTTAAGAAAAAATGCTCTTAAATGCATTCACCTTCCATGACATGTGGTCTTCAAAGTGATTCATTAATGGACTAAGAAGTATTCTAAAAATGTGTACTGTAGCTGAAAAAAAATGAATTGAGATATTGTGCTGATGTAGGAGCTGCGTGAACTCCAGGGACAGATCAAAGACACATCAGTCATTGTGTCCATGGACAACACCCGTGAGCTGGACATGGATTCCATCGTGGCTGAAGTCAAAGCTCAGTATGAAGACATCGCCAATAGGAGCAAGGCCGAAGCAGAGATGTGGTACAAACAGAAGTACGAAGAGATGCAGAGCTCTGCTGGTCAGTACGGTGATGACCTGCGCACAACCAAAGCTGAGATCGCTGAGTTGAACCGCATGATCGCTCGCCTTCAGAATGAAATCGAAGCAGTCAAGGGACAGGTAAAGGGTTTGTGTTAGATAAGACATTTTTTGAAATGATAGAACTGGGTTTTAAGTGAACGTTTCTGCACAGAGAGCCAACCTTGAGGCCCAGATTGCCGAGGCAGAGGAGCGTGGAGAGCTGGCAGTGAAAGATGCCAAACTCAGAATCAAGGATCTGGAAGATGCCTTGCAGAGAGCGAAGCAGGACATGGCCCGCCAAGTCCGCGAGTACCAGGAGCTCATGAACGTCAAACTGGCCCTGGACATTGAAATTGCCACCTACAGGAAGCTGCTGGAAGGAGAGGAGAGCAGGTGAATTCAAAACTCCACAAATCCATATTTTGGTCTATTGTTCTGTCTATTATGGCGCATCATTAACCGGCAATGTGAATAAATGTGATGATTTTTCTTAACAGAATTTCCAGTGGAGGCCCTACTTTTTCTGTGCATGAGCAAACTACAACTAGGGGAGGTAAGTGTACATCTGTTTAAAAATACCAGCATCATTTTCTAAAAACAAAATCTGAATGTCCTTTTCCTGTCTTCGATTAGTGAATGCATCATCAGGAGGTGGATTTGGAGGTGCAGGTGGATATGGAAGTTCAATGAGCAGTGGATATGGAAATTCAATGAGCGGTGGATATGGAAATTCAATGAGCGGTGGATATGGAAGTGGAGGATATTCATCAATGACCAGCTCATCACGAAGATATTAATTAACATCTCTGCATGGTGTAACACGGTGTAAATCCAGCCAACATAAAAAGTCCTAACCATGTATTCAGCAATGTTACAGATCTGAGCATGCGGCCATTTAAAAGGGGGTGTTTGAGCTTCAAAAGTATGAAGAGCCACGATCAGCTTGTGGAGCAATGCAACTTTGCACTGACTTCTAAGTTCTGAGTAAAAAAACAAAAGCTTTTATTAAGCATGAGCGTTACACTTAGCTCAAAAATATTCAAAAAATGTGTACAATTTGGGTGCAATGTTCTAGACTAATCAAATCAATGTGATCTTAAAAAATCTGACTGTTTACATTAGTGGTGCATACTTTGAGAAGATTAGTTCTGGCACGGTTTTATTTGTACAATTTTTTTATATTTTTCAGCAAAGTGCGATGTTCTACCAAAGCTATTGTAACCAGATTTATTTTGTCCTGCTTGACATGCAACATCTAATAAATCTGAGAGAAAATATGACTAAAGTCTGGCATGTTTGTTGATTATTTATATGTTTTAGAGTTTAGATTAAATTGATTGATGCAAGCAATTATGAAGGCGGTATAACAAATATACATTCTTAAAAGCAGAAATACAACTAATCACTAAAAATCCCCGTCAATAAACACAATGTTACAATATTATAATTTCTACATTTCTTCCAAAAGTAAAAGTCTTTCATTCAAAGTTTTGAATCGTCGTCACCTCGAGTAATTTTTGCAGTTAAATAAAATTTTATTCATCCTGCAATAAATTATGACAACATTTCCACTCATCTTTTGCACCTCAGGCTGACAGAGTTGGCAGACTGTGAGTCAATAAACAGTGATGGGGAAGACTAACAGCAGTCAATGAGAAAGTGTGCCAAAAGTATTAAACACACAAGTGTCTTTCAATTCCACGTTACTACAGATCTCCCCTGAATCAATAAGCAATATATTCTTTAGAATGTGTTCACATGTGGGAAGAGGCCAGACAATCCATTTCCTTTTTACTTACTTTTCTGATATCCAAAAACATAATGAGTGCATTCACACGCCTTAAAGAAGAAGATTGAGGCAAAAAGTCAACAGGAGTGAGGCTGAAGGAAATAATCTTTGCCCCTTGTGTCCGCTGCATAAGAGATTAATGTTACTGTGTAAAGAGCCCGGTATGAGAACTGGGAACTCCTGCATACATGACCAAAGACCAAAACAATGCATTTTAGGCACGTGTTTCAAGGCCTGGTCCTACGTTTCAGTGGATCAAAGTCATTTTACAATATAACATTAATCATATTCCAGATTCTGGTCTTAAAAGATAAACAATTCTGCTTATCCATCTTAAATACATATAATACAAACAACTTTCTGCAGAAGCTTGCCACTTTTGTAAAAAATAAAATCTGTAGAACATTAGGGATAGAAAAAGACATGTTAAAAGTATTTTTGAGGGTCAGTATGTGCAGCAAGTCATTTCAACTCACACCACAGTAACAAAGACAAGCGTGTGTATGTGCTGCCTCCTGTGGCCTGTGAATGGGTACTGTAGGCTTTTACAGGTGTATTTAAAATAGGTCAAAACATTGTAATGCTAAGCACTGAAAAATCACAGCAATGATTTACGATTCGAGAATAGACGAGTCCCTGTAGCTTCCCTGACCTCATCGCCCACGAGTCACGACACATTTCTGTATGATCCAAAAACACCTAACGCACTTGTCTGTTTCAGTTTATTTTCATTCAATACTAACCCAGCAGAAAGCACCAAAACAACCAGCATCTTAAAAATCCAGCAGCATTAGCCTAGTAGCATTAGCTTAGCAGACACCAGTGAAACAGCAAACAACAGCAAAATGTACAATAAATGGACGGATTATGAGGTGCAAGCATTGATTCAAAATGAAAAGATATAGTGACATATCAGCTTCATATATACTGTATTAGCTTCAAGTACTGGGGATTCATCACTCTAAAACAAGCCGTGAAAAGTAAAAAAAAATCTGAAGCAGGACTATAAAGAAACTCAAAAAACACAACAACCGGAGTGGTTACGGCCGTTAAATAAACAAATGGGTTTGCCGTAATGAGTTTTGCTTATGCTGCATTCGAAACTCGTGACGTCGCCGAGTTGTCCTTCTGCAGTGGAGACACGGATGTTAAATCAAGATAAACTCCACTTGTAGTTCATTACATTTATTTCAGTCAACCATACGCAGGTTCAACATACAACCCGCCTCTCACGGTCTGCATAGAAAAAAAACATGTGCGCTATACAAAGAGCGCTAGAGCCCCCTAGCTGTAAGGCATGGAAGGTGAACATTAAACCAAGAGCTAACAAACTCACTCTCTTTATCCATCCATCCATTTTCTACCCTTTAATCTATTTCTGGGTCAGGGGGGTGACAGTCAGAGATGCCACCCAAGTCTCATAGCACCAGCCCCTCACTGACCCTCTGCAGGTGGTGAGTCCACAGGAGGACGGCTGCTCTCTGAGTGTGAGCATAGCCTTGATCTTTCAGTGGGGGCTTTGGGCAAAGTGGGGTTAAGTGTCTTGCCCAAGGACACAACGAGTTTATTTTATTTTATTTTTTTTTTTTTTCACTTTCTTTATAAAAATAAAAAATAAACCTTTTTTTTTTTTTAACACAACATGGACATGTAAACAGTATTAACAGAATCGTTTTATAACATTCAGATGGTCACCCAACAGCCCACTGTCCTTCATGAAGAGCCTTTAGCAGCCTAGCTGAAGAGGCACCCTTTTTTGTTAGGCAGTCTGCAAGTTGGTCTTTGGTTTCTGACCACACCACCTGTTGAACCATTTTGTTTTGGATTAGTTCTTTTATAGAACTAATTTCCAAGCGTAGTCTCTTTTCAGTCACAAACTTTGTAGACTTCAGTGCATCAATAAGAGAAAAGTTATCAGTAACACAGATTATTGGCACACTGTGATCTGTACAACCTGCACTCAGCTCAGAAAACAATGTAGAAAGAAAAATGGCATTGTCAACTCCCTCAGACATTGCTAGAGTTTCACCTGCAAGTGTACTTCTGACAACTCTCTTGATCCTCTTTGACTGCCATGATATTGGAGAGAAGTGTCCATTGTCACCCATTAAAACAATAAGGTGCCCACCTTGAGTACCCCCATCTGATAGGTTAGCGAAAGAAGCATCAGTGAAAGTAACAATCTTTAAGCTACTGTCTTTACCAAGGTGCTGGAAATTCAACTCGACTGATTTGGCTTTAAGTTTGCACACAACTCAGTTTGCTTCATTGATGGTTTGTATAGTAGCCTGCTTGAGATTTGATGCTAAGTTACTTGCATCAAACATAACATCAGGTCTGCTTTGTCTGGCAACCCACAACAGTTGCCCTATCTTAGATCTTAGAAGGTCTCTCTCAGTTTCTGTGAGCAATGAGCTTGGCTCGGAAGCCCGTGAAGGAGCAAGAGGGATGGGCTGTAAATGCTGAATATATGTCTCTTGTTGAATTTGGACTTTTTTGCCTAAAGTAACAAAATCAACACCTAAATAAGAGAAGCTATCCTGAGCTTCACGACCTACATTGAATTTGGATCTTATTTGAGGTATGACATTCATAGAGAACATTTTTGTACCCGCCCAAATGAAATCATCCACATGACCTGCTAGTATACCAGTTACATTTTTTTCCTTATCTAACCAGTATAAAACTGCAGGGTCTACTTTAGATATGACAGCTCCGGCTTCAATCATTATGCCTAATGCGGCGTAAAATGTCCAAACTGAGGCAATACGCTGCGGCAGGCTAAGACACGGGCTTTGTTGCTGACGCGTAGATTCATTCGTATGCGGATAGGGACTTACTTGATGTTTCGTAGAGTTGACTCAGTTGCCCTTCCGGATGATGATGGATGTACAGAATGTTGCTTACGGTCAACAGAAAGTAGCAGCCCGTGCTCACCCTGCCATGATGCCTAATCCCACAGGTGTGCACATGCCCCTCTTAAGCCCAACACAGGTGCAGCCTAATTGAGAGACACCACTCTAAACTGCCACCCAGTGGACAAACTAGGACAGTGCGTGAGCCCTCAGCCGTGTAGATACTAAAATAGAAAAAGCTAATATGTGGCTCCTACAATGCCTTTTACTCTGTTATACCAATACAGTGAAGCGTCAGCTAAACCATACACACATTTTCTCAGTTTCCAAACTATGCCTGTACTATTGGCCTCTGGAGGCGGTTTGATGAAAATGTCTCGAGACAGTTCTAGTCCTTGTAAAAAAGCTGATTTGATGTCCATTGAATGAAGTTGCCATTGTTTCTGGCAACTCACTGCCACAAGGAGCCTCAGAGACTCCGAAGCACAGGTTGGAGAGTCCTTTTGTAGTTCCGAAACTTGTAGCTCTTCAAATCCTCGTGCAACAAGCCTGGCTTTAGGAACTAATCCATTCTCCGTCTCTTTCAGAGTGCACACCCACCGAGTAGAGATGCACTTTTGTCCATTGTCCTCAACCTCTTCATACACATCATTTTGTATCCAGCTTTTTATTTCACTGATTTTAGCTTCATCAAATGAGACATCCTTTGTGATAAAAACATCTTCACATGGCTCTGTTTTTGCGTCTGATCTTGCACCCAAAGATCATCCAATTGTGACAAATCAACAGCTTCACTGGTACCTGCCCTCTCAGCAGGCTCAAGTAGCTCCAAGTTGTACCAGTTCTTGTATTTTCCTTTTCCTTTACCAGCACGTGCCAACACGTTTGCTTTCTGCAAGGCGTCACTTTCTGTGTTTCTGCATGTCACAATTTGACCAGTCTTCACATTTCCATCAAAACCTCCTTCAGCCGCTGCATTTTCAGGACCATTCAGTGGGTCATTGTCAATGTGTTCACTATTTGTCTCTTCTATATTATCACTTATGTCATTGGTGTTGTGTTGTTCAATTTCAGAGTTAATCGGAGGTTCCACATGGTCCTGAGTAACCTTTCTCAGCCGAAGTTGGTGAACTCTGACACAGATGCCTCCATGTCGAACAAAAACAACAGCGCCGTCTTGTCCAATGACCACTCCTGGCCCTTTCCACTCTGCACAGTCCACACGTTTGTAAAACATCTTGTCTCCAAGTTCATACTTCTCATCGTTGCAACGCAGCTGTTTCTTCAGTGCTCTCCGTATCCGCTCTGAACACTCCGCTTCTGTAAATGCATTCCGTGCA